AAAGAACGTGCGTGAAAGAATACGTGTGCATGTATGTGTGTGTGTGTGTGTGTGTGTGTGTGTGTGTGTGTGTGTGTGCGTAAGTAAGTAAGCATGTTGTCTTAATGTGTGTGTGTGTGCATGTGTGTGTGTGTGCGTGTGTGCGTGTTTGCATGAATGTATATTATGTGTGTGCGTGGGTGTGTGCGCGCTCACAAGTGTAGACGTTTGCTTATCTGTTACGTATCTTATATTTCTTCATTCAAGTGAAAACAATTGCAAAGCCCGGACGAAAACGATTCATTTCCTTGCTCTCTATCTCCCCCTCCCTCTCTATCACCCACACCCCCTTCCCTCTCTCTTTCTCCATCTCTTTCTCTCCCCTTGCTCCCTATCTCCCCCATCTCTCTCTCTTCCCATTGCTCTCTATCACCTCCCCCCTCTCTCTCCCTTGCTCTCTCTGTTTCTCTCTCTCTCTCTCTCTCTCTCTCTCTCTCTCTCTCTCTCTCTCGCCCTTGCTCTCTATCTCCTATCCCCCTCTCTCTCCCTTCGATACAAAGTGGCACCGCAAACACCAGGTCCCCTTTTCGCGCCCTTCCCTCACTAGAGTAAGCAAGCCATTGACATAACCAGCAGTAAACTTTGCTCAACCTCAACCTCACACACTAAGTCTCGTGTTGTTTAATGGCTCAATACTTCACGTTCTTCAGTACTGGCAAATGTTCCCCAATTAGGACAACGCCCTCCAAAAAACATGTCGGACACAGTGAGAGCCAGGAGTAGATCGGTCATTTTTGACGATTGTCCACGTCATCATGTTTTTTTTGTTTTTTGTTTTTGTAAAGTGTTTTACGGCTCTTGCAACTGCATAAGGTCATATGAGCGCGCGGGACACACCTAATATTTTCAGTTGGTAGGAAATTTTGAATTTTGCCCGGGGGGCGGCCGAAGCCTACTCTTATCGATTTTAGACCACCAAGGGATTTTTAATCTGCGCAACTTGCACACGGGCCCTCTGAGATTTTTCGCCCTTGTCCGAGAAGGCTAGATGTAGATCTTTCCTTACAGAAGATCAGGGGTGTGGCAGAAAGACAGCAGTAAGGAGGAGCCAAGGAGTAGCAGTAGAAAGGCTTCAGAAAGAGTCAGGAGCCCAGAGTGAGGAGGGGCAAAGGAGGTGAGGGGGTGGGGGCAGAAAGTGGAAATGAAAGCAGACAACAGAACATTGCTAAAGAGCAGGAAAGGACGTGAAAGGAGACAATTTTAGAGAAGAAAATTTTTCGGTCGCTACCCGGATTCGAACCCGGGACCTTTGAATGAGAGGCCAACACCTTAACCTCTAGGTCACGAGAGCCCCCCTCATTATGGTCGATAATATCGAGAGTTAAATGTGTCATGACCAAGTGGAATCAGGCTTTCCCAAAATTTCAAGATTCGGCACTTTCAAAGAAACTCGTGGCAGTTTTTTTGGAGACATTAAGGTTTTTTTCTTTTTTTTTCTTTTAGAAGCTCTATCAAACTTGATGTTACTTGGTATTGTAAAACACTGAACAGGTTAAGAAAAGCTCTTTGCTTTGTTTTTGTTCGCAACTGCATAAGGTCATAAAATGAGCGCGCGGGACATATAATTAAACATTTTCAGTTTGTTGGGAATTAATTTTTAATCTTTCCCGGGTGATGCCGAAGGTTAGTCATATCAATTTTAGAACCACCAAGAGATCTTTAACGTGTGCAACTTGCACACGGGTCCTCCGAGAATTTTTTGCCCGTATCCGAGAAGGCTAGGTATTAGATTTTGCCTACTTTAAGATCAGTAAGTAGAAGCCATGAGAAGGAGTAGAAAGAGTCAGGAGCCCAGAGGAGTGGGGAAAGGGGGGGGGGGGAGGGTAGAAAGCGGAGATGAAAACAGATGACAAAACATGATTAGAGCTCAGGAAAGGACGTGAAAGGAGAACATTTTAGAGAAAAGAATTTTCCGTCGATATCAGGTTTTGTTTTGTTTTTGTAAAGTGTTTTACGGCGCTCGCAACTGCATAGGTTATCAGGTTTTGAACCCGCGACCTATTATAATGAAAGATGAACACTGTGCCTCTAGAACACGAGAGCTCCCAAAGAAGTCCTGCGTAAAAAAAACCCCAACATACAAAAAAACCAAAACGACCCCCCCCCCAAAAAAAAAACCCAGGCCACCTGAAGAAGAGTATCATTTTGCAGCAAGATGCCGCAACCGAAACAGCAAAATGGTAATGGGTTAGCTTTGTAGTCGCAATTGTGAAGTCCTGCCACACACACACAAACACACACACACACACACACACACACACACACACACACACACATGCACACACACACACACACACACACACACACACACACACACACACACACATGCACACACACACACACACACACACACATCACAGTCTGGACCGTGCTCCTTCAGATTAATATTTAATTTTAAATGACATCTGTCTGAAAAAAACAACAACAAACAAACCCCAGCATCACATAGGAAAAAGATCTCATTAAAAAAGTGAAGAACCTCTTTTTACTACCTTGTGACCATAATTTCTCTAGAGAAGATCTTTATTCCCTTGTGCGCGCGCCAATAGCAAAAACGCATCGATCTTCATGAAATTACAATGAGTAGTAAGTACGATGAAATAGTGTGAGGTTTTTTTAGTGCTGACATTTCATTCAGATTAAATAAGAAGCTTCAAAGTTTTGGCCGTCCTCATCCTTACTTCGGGACAGTCCTCGTTTATATTAATTATTGAAACATTATCTATTAAACTACGTATGTTATAAAGTTTACGTTTAGTCACCTATTTAACAAAAATTAAAAAAAACACCAACCAACCAACCAACCAACCACCAACCAACCAACCAACCAACCAACCAACCAACCAACCAACTAACTAACTAAGTAACCAACCAACCAACCAACCAACCAACCAACTAACCAACTAACCAACTAACCAACGAACCAATGAACCAACAACCAACCAACCAATCAACCAGCCAACCTACCTACCTACCCACCCACCAAACAACCAACAAACCAACCAACCGACCAACCAACCAACCAACCAACCAACCAGATAAAAACCAGCTGACCAAACAAACACACAGATAAAAAGAAAAAGAAAAGAAGTCGGCATAATAATAAAACAAAAGTATTGCCCAACAGCACGAAGGACTGACTAAATGCGCGGTATAACGCCATGTCGATGGTGTCAGTTCAAAATGATCTAAGT